GAATTGTTGATTGCAGAAAGTACTATAGATGCTAAAGTGGATCACCAGTCACCTATGACAACACTTTTCATGATTGTTTGGAAGAACCAAAGCTGATTTCCAACCTAACCTGACATCTACTGCTTGTCTTGGGGCTTGGTATACAAGGGATCGGAATCCTCCTGCAAGTCTGGAAGGTAAAAGTCTTGATAATTTTGGTTTCTTTCTCTCCTCCCTTTGGCATCCAAAAAAAATATAAAAGATTGAGATGATTTCCTGAGAGGCAGAGGGAGAGGTACATTACCCATGACCCCGCTATTCTAATTCAAAGGAATGATCACACATTGTGGAAGTGGTGGAGAGGTAAATTACCCATGACCCCACTATTCGCCTACACTTTGTCAGAAAAGACTACAAAAGTAGAAAGGTCAATAAGATGAACACGTGTTGTTCATTGGGATTGATATAAAAGAAAAAGAAAAGTTGGGATTCAGAGAAGGGGGATATAGAAAGAAAAGAAACTAGAATGAGAATGCCTGAAACTTGCTTGAGTTGAATCCAAGTGTTCCTTGATCAATACTCCCAAGGTAAAGCCTTCACTTTTATTTTATGCATAAATGAAATCAGTAGAGGGGATAGAAAGAGAGGATTGCTAAGTTGATTGGCTAGATGAATTTGGTTGCTAAGCTAGGATATGGTATAATGTACTTCTGTAGTTAGTAATATGAGATGTGGCTTGCAACAAAGTAAAGGTTATGATTTTAAGTTAAGATTTGATTGAGTCCCTGCTGTTTTTAAACTTCTTTCAAAGACTAACTATTGTATTTGCTTGAGGACAAGCAAAAGGTTAAGTCTGGGGGAGTTAGTGCATAAATAAATAAAATATAACTGATATCGAAAATTGTGAACGATATACCTAACCGATGTTCGTATCGATCGATGGTGAGTCACTTCCATCGATCGTCATGGATTGGTTTGTATCGATCGATTGCGAAAGTATTGTATCGGTCGATAGATGTAGTGATTGTGTGTCATCTGAAATAAAATAAAACGAAAGTAATAAGTAAAAATAAAAGAAAACTAAGAAAGAAAATACCTAATAGTGGGTTACCTCCCACTCAGCGCTTAGTTAAAGTCATTTAGCTTGACTATGGAGGTATGGTGGCTAGTGAGGTGGATTGCATGTACTTTTTTTGGAAACAAGTATCTTCCTTGTCTTGTGATTCTTCAAACCATGAAGTTAAGAAGCTTCTTGTGGCTTTCTCGGTTCTGGTCATACTAGCTTTCAACCCTTGGACCTCATTTTGGACTCTTTGTAGCCATTCCTCAAGGCTCGCAATGTTGTACTCATGATGTCCAAGCATGTTGTAGATTTGTTCTACATTAATACTCAGCTGCGTGGTGTTGAGGTTTTGGATGTCTTGCACACGGGTAGAGGTAGTATCGACCGGTCCTTGTGGGTCTGTATCGGTCGATGTGGAAGGATGTCCATTGATCGATGTTCTGGAAGGTACGTCGATCGATGCTATTGGAGCAGGTCGGTTCGCGAGCTGGCTTTGGATGTACTCGATCTCCTTCTGAATGCCTTATGTTGTGCATTCCAATCTTTGGACGTCACTCTGTACTGGGAACCACATCTCGTCGAGTAATCTATATGCTTCGTCTCCACAGGCTTCAATAGATCGGTAGATCTCCCCTGTGATTTCCTCAAGTTCTTCTTTGGTACAGAATTCTGATGTTTTAGTATCGGTCGATGGCAATGGAGGTTCATCGATCGATAGCTCTTGTAGGTGACACTCGATTGGCTTGTCTATGGTGATATCGATTGATGCATTGTGGCTGTATCGATCGATTTCAGCTTCTAGGATTCTAGTTCTTCGCGAAGTGCATTCACCTCTTCTTGCAGGGCTTCCCTCTCTTGGCGAGCTAAATCATTGCCAGTCTGATTCCACAGTAATTCTCCTTGAAGTGATGATATGGCTTTTTCATGTTCAGACCTCAGTGCTGCCATCTCCCAGTTATGTTCACCAACTCTTCCATTGATCATGTGTGTGACCTCTGCTTGTGTGTAGAGCTTGCAAACTGGATCTCCTTTAGCAAATTGTTCAGCGTGCTCTGGTAAACAGAAACAAGAGCACTCAAACAGTTAGGCTCTATTCAGCAGCTTCCCAATATCTTCTTTTGAAACATGGATGATGTCTCCAGCTATGCTTCCGGCAAAACCATTCTCATCTCTGTAGACACCATATTCGTTTTTCTTTTCCAATAAGAACTGACAAATCCCGGATCTGAAGGCTCGTTTCCCAAATTCTTGATGTATATCGGTCGATGTTATTCTCCACATATCGATCGATGCTGGTCGAGATTCTGGATATGCTGAACTAGTCATCTGAAGAATGTCTGAAACGTCTTCTTTGGAGATTCGAATGATTCTTCCATCCATTGCTCATGCATGGCCATCTGGATCCCTGAAAATACCAAATTCATCCGGAATTAGTAAGGTAAAATCAAAATTATGTGTTTGTACCTCGGATGGTGTAATGGCAGGATCGGTCGATGGAGTGGCATGGGGATCGGTCGATAGTTTTAGAGATGTGTCGATCGATGGATGTTGCTATGTGTCGGTCGATACGTCAGAATCTGGTTCGACTACATGCATCAGTGGTGTTGTTTCCACTGCGAAACTTTCATTGTAATTGCTTGCCCAACTTCCAGTGGAGTAATCTCCGTCTTGTGGCTCGCGTGGGACGTACACTGGTGCACAGTAGGGGCTGTCACCTTTTGATTCGAAACGTCTCTTGAGCGATCGGGGTTGGTGCATATCGGTCGATGGAGGGTTGGCTCTGTCGATCGATTCTCTGAAGATAAAGGATAGGAGAGGAGGTCTTTCTTCATCTTCCCGAAGAAATCTGTACTATGTGTCTCGTTCCTCTTCATAATCTTCATCATACTCCTCCTGAGTAGTAATACTAGCCAGTTCTGGGATGTAATGATCGTTCTCCCAATCATATGCGCTAAAATCGCCTTCTGGAAATTCTTCTTCAATCTTTTGGAAAAGTCTGTCGATCGATGACCATGTGTGTCTGTCGGTCGATGTTGGTTAACCGGATCTGGGTCAGATCTGGCGGATCTGTGAAAGGTTGCAGGTGAGGCTTCACCGGTGATGAATGGGTTATCCTCCCTTATCATATTTCGATTCCGTTTTTTCGTGACCTCTCCCCTCTTCGATCTGTGGAGATTTTCATTTCAAGTGGTTAAGAATAAATGTTGTCCATTGTTGTTGGGAAGTGTTTTCCCTCTGATATCCATGAATTTTAGGGAGAATTGATGGCACTCTTTTGCGGTTCTTGGATCCTTGGATTCTAGTGCGGTTTGGGCCAGTTTGTAAGCGTTTTTAATGGCAGCTTAGTAGGGTTTTTCAGGATATGTGCCAGGCGTTTGCTTGCCGTTCGTCTCACTCCGTTGTGTGTGTGTGTGTGTGGAGAGGTTCCATTGGCAAGACTTCCTTTTCGGGTGTTTCGAATGCTTCATTCTTAGAGCTTAATTCGTTATCTTTCCCAAGGTGTGTGGACCGAGCTTCGGTTCCCCTTGTTGAGTGATGAAGTCTACGTGGTATTTGGTCTTATTGTTGGCGTGCGAGGCAGCAGTGATACAGATGGTTTGGGTGTGGAAGTAGTAGGTACCGGCTTGCGGGCTAAAGGCAGTAGCAGTATACCTCAATCTCTAGCTTGTATTCTGGTCTTTTTCTGTTTGCTTTATGTTGGGGTCCTTGCGTTGATGTGTACCCATTTATGAAGTTAGTAACAAGTTAGTTTTGGTTTTGGTTTTTTTTTCTATTTTTCAAGTAACCTTAGAGTGGGCTTAAGTCGCCCCTGCATGGGTTCTAGCTGTCGCTTCCTATGGGCTTTAGTTTCTGGGATTAGTTTCGTTGTGTCGCCAACTTTGTATGATCCTTCGTATCTTAAATTAAATGAAAATCAATTTGACTGAAAAAAATGTAGTAGACTACTTAAAATGTTTTAATAGTATTACTAGATTTTGATCCGCGCAACCGCGTGGGTGTTTGTTTTCGTTTATAGTTAGTTATATAAACATTTTGTTTTCACTTGTAAATTGGTATATATTATAGTAATAACATATTTACGATATGTTTAGTAAATGTTTTTCAAACATAATAATATTATATAATACATGTTTCAATCAAATAGATTGTTTCAAATTTTCTATATTATACATGTTTTTCAAACATGTGTTGTTTCTTATTTTATATTTATTGTTTGTTAGATTAGTATTTCATTTTTAGATAAACTAATATAAATAGAGCTTGATTAAATATTAGTATATTTTAATTTGCAAAGATAATATAAACTTCGAAGAATTTTTTGCTAAAAACTAAACTTATAGCTTCATAGATTAATATTATAAAGAATTTTACTAAAAAGGAATTTTTAAACAATTTCTGTTTTTAAAACAATATAATTTTAAAAGTTTACATAGAAATAAATTTATCTAGTATATATAGCATGTAAGTTGTGTTAGGGTATATAAATATTTCATATTACGAATCTGTGATTTTTGTTAATATATTGTGGATGCATTTAACTATTATTGACATATTTCCTTATAAATAATAGAAGATTCATAAACTTATATCTATTGATATATTTTGCGTGACTAAGTTGAAAGGTGTGGGGTAATTTAGCCAAACCAAATTGTTAAGCGTATCTTTGTTATTATAGATATGACTTTTCATAAGATATAATAATGATAAGATTATTAGAGACTTAATGTAGATGACTTTCTAGTATTAGTCCATTTTTAAAAAAAATATCACACATGAAATCAAAGAATGATTTATGTTTTAATATATAAGATTGATAGCATTTTGATTAAAAAAAAGTAGTATTGATAGCGCAAGATATTCTTTAGTGAGCAGAAAGGCCCAAAACCCAAAGCCCAGTTTAGCTTTATTTCCCATTTCACTTTCTACCAAAAACAATTCAACGTTAAAACGCTTCTTCCCTTTCGCTGCGCTTCCTAAGGGCACGATTCCAACCAAATTCGAAGATTTAATAAAATCAGCGGAGCTCCTCTAAGAAAGTTCCAATCGATTTGATCATCCTCATAAGAGGCGACAATGTTCTACAGAGGGTAAGCTTATTATCTCCGATTCGTTGTTCCTCAATCAATTGATTTCACCAGCTTCCGCAATTAGGGTTTCTTTCTCGTCATCGTACCTGAAATCACTTCAATTCAGATCCTTTTGAATTCAATCTGTTACAATCTCATTCATTTGTTAAATTTGATCGGAAAGTTTCCATCTTTCAATCTCTCCGAATGTTTATCCATAGAGAGTGTTGTAATTAGGGTTTTATTGTAATTGGGATTGATTCTTACCTAAGTCACTTTAATTAGGGTTTCATTGTAGTTGGGATTGATTCATAGCTAAGTTACTTTAATTAGGGTTTTGTTATGGTGAATGTGTGTAGATATTGTAAATAAATTTGATCGGAAAGTTTCCATCTTTCAATCTCTTATAATCCATAGAGAGTGTTGTAATTAGGGTTTTATTGTAATTGGAATTGATTATGGTGAATGTGTAGATATGGAGATGGTCCTGATGGGCGTGAAACAGGACCTAAGCGTCAAAGAATGAGTGGACAAGCTCCTCCAGGATCATTCTATGGACCTCACCCTGGTTCTGCCTATATGTTTAACCCTTACGGATTCGTCCCTCCTCCTGTTTTCCCTGTGGTTAAACTCCGTGGTCTCCCATTTGATTGCTCGGAGCGCGATGTTTTAGAGTTCTTCCATGGTTTAGATGTGGTTGATGTCTTGTTTGTTCACAAGAACAATAAGGTCACTGGGGAAGCCTTTTGTGTTCTTGGTTACCCTCTTCAGGTTGATTTTGCGCTTGGTAAGAATAGACAGAACATGGGGAGGAGATATGTTGAGGTTTTTCGGAGTACGAAGCAGGAGTATTATAAGGCTATTGCTTATGAGGTTGCGGAGTCTCGTGTCCATGGTACTGTTACTGGTGGTGGTGGTGGTGGTGGTGATGGTGGAGGAGGAGGTGGCGGGAGCGGTGGAAGAGTTGCACGTTCACCTCGTAGACACGTGCCCAGGGCGAGATCGAGTGATGATGGGAAAGAGAATGCTGAGCATACGGGTATCTTGAGATTGAGAGGGTTACCATTCTCAGCAGGAAAAGAAGACATATTAGACTTCTTCAGAGATTTTGATCTGTCTGAAGACTCTGTTCATGTTACTGTCAACGGTGAAGGGAGACCCACTGGAGATGCGTTTGTGGAGTTCAGGGGCGCAGAAGAATCGAGAGCTGCGATGGTCAAGGACAGGAAGACGTTAGGGAGCCGTTACATAGAACTGTTTCCTTCGTCAGTTGAAGAGTTAGAGGATGCACTTTCAAGAGGAAGGTGATCCACCACTTCTCATGGTACTTTCATACCCCTTTTTTTTTTATATGCTTGTCAGAAGATCACAGTTTAGACGCATTGATGGTTACGGCTTTGATGTACTACTAGTGCTGTATTGATGGAGTTCTAGAGCATATGCATCAATAGAGTAACAAATCAAATGGGTGCTAAAATAGTCTTTTGCTATTGTAGCTTATGAGTTATGGTCGTTCTGCTTATCGTTAGAACTCTTGTTGTATTTGAACATTAGGCTTTTGCTGAAAATTGTGGCAATAGTGATCTTGGTTGATGCTGATATCTCCTGTAAGACATGTGGTTCAAACGAGAGAGAACTCGTTTTGGATTCTTTCTAGTGTTTTTATGCAAAAAGACTGAGAAAAGTTATGGTCGTGGTTGATATTTTTAGCTTGGTGAGAAAAGACAAACAGTTATCAAGCATTTCTCAGTATATATTCGATATCTTGATGACAGTGTTTCAGACATTATATCGGTAGGGCCAAAACCATTGGACATACATGTATGAGTACAATGGTAGTATAGTTGTTAGGTCATTGTTTACTGTTTACTTGTGAAACATGTGGCAGAAATATCAAAAACAAATGTACGGCTGAATCATAATAATTGTTAGCATTTAATTATTCGATTTTGCAAACTGTTACTAATATGCAAGCAGCAGAAGAAACTTTGGTCTTTTGTCATTCTGGTTTCAGTGAGATCTGACAATGATTTAAATTGAATTGTCTGAACAACGAAGTTATACTAACAAAGAAAGATATTGAGAATAATACTGATATTTTTCAGAAGTTAATTATTGATTTAATAAAACCAACTACAGCTTTTCCATCGTACGTAGTCTTCTAGAGCACTTTGAAGGATGGAGATGGTCTTCTTCTCCTATCTGTTTTTTTTTTTAAACACTGTCGTCTTCTCCTTTCTATGTGGGTTGTTTATCATCGAAAAAGTGGAGAATGTGTCCCCAAGTGTGGTGGTGACCGTGGTGGCTTCAAGAGTACGGAAGGAGCCCCAAACAACGACTTATGTGGTTAATACTAAGGGCTAGTTTTAACTCATTAAATATTTAATCTTTATCTTAACTTTGGAGATAGGGTTAAAAAGAAGCTCAACATAATTAGCCCATAATTTTGTAGAGGTTAAGTTTTAGCTCATTAGCTTCACACCATTTATATAAAGATTTAAATATATACTAAATTCTGATCCGAGCTTAAAAATGATGGAATATTTTGTAACAAAAACTAATTAAAATGATATATTTTAACATTTTATGTAAGTAATGTTTAAACATTTTAATTTTAGTGTATTTGAAAATTATATAACTGTATTATTTATGTTTGTATTAAATATATGAAAAGTACTTGTTATAATATTTAATTGAGTTTAAATCAATACAATTTTTATTAATAAAAATATAAATAAAATAATTCATTAATTTATTAATCAAAATCATTTTGCAGTATCTAAAGCCGTGAAAATATAGTTATACTTATTTTCGAATTTTTATAGATAAATTGTGTGTTTTAGCTAAATCATTGAAAAAAATAAATACAAAAAGGGCAATTCTCTCAAATATCATTTTAAAAAAAAATTTTCTCAAATATAGCTCTCTAAAAATAAAATGACCAAAATATTTTCTTTTTATTTTAAAATTTTTAATATTTCTTTTTTATTTTTTAAAATTTGAAACCATATCCCTAAAACTCCACTCATAACTCTAAACCTTGAGTGTAGATGAGTTAACCCTAAGGTATAAATGCATTTATCCTCTAAATAAAACTTCTTTTGATAATTTTCCTCTTTGAAGATTATTTTGTGAAAATAAACTAAAAATTGTTATTTAAGAAAACTTCTCTAAAAAAATATTAAAAATTTAAGATTTAATGTTTATATTGTTTGGATATTAAATTAGTTATTGTGTTGTTTAGAAACACATTTAGTAATAGTATAATAGAAGGAGTATTAATTTATTTAGGTTGATTTAATTATATAGTAGAATGATGTATTTAATTTTACAATCCATGAGAATTATTCTGTTTTAATAAGAGAGATAAAATTTTAATATTTGTTCAACTATGTAAAAATTTAATTTCCTTCAAAACCGCAAAATCTAATTTTATCAAAACTGAGTTTCACTGCCAAAACTAAGTTTTCTTTTAAACCTGCAAATTAAGTTTTTTCGCAAATTTGTACTGTTGTTGGAAAATAAAAGAGTTGTATTGTGGAAAAGTCAGAGATGGGAACGGTCGGATCCTAATTTGCAAGACCACAGCTTTTTTAGTCAAGCAAGACGAGATTGTGTCATCATCATGTCACGATGATGCTAGGGGTTTAGCTTGAATGACTGCTAACATGTGGAAATCGGATGGCCCCGTAATAATATGAGATTATTAATAAGAAATGTATTTGTAACAAAATCGAAACGAACATTTACTAGGGAAAAACTCGTTTATTTGTGTCTGTGTGAACACAAAAGACGTATGCGAATCTAATTGCCGCTTTACATGGTGAATCCTATGTTTTAGGATCCCATGACAACATTGACAAGAGCCAATCTCGCATACGTATGTACTTTTAGATTTAAAAAGTCAGTTCACTTTTATTTTTTTATTGATTCCTTTAAATTAGTAATCCAAAGTAATCTAATACTAGTTATGGGGCATAAATGTTTTTAAGAATTTATTGAAAATTAGCATTCTAATACTATGGCACAACCATACTACCTCAATCAAAATCGGAAACAGTTAGTTGGGGTGAGCACAAACTCATGTTATAGCAGTTAATAATACTAATATAGTATAGAGTATAGACACTGAATTTACATGTCAGTCCACGTGATTTCCTTCCTTCCTGGCTACATCAAAGTCAGTGTTAACTTTTTCTTACTTTTTTTTGTCAAAGATATATATATTAAATTTTTTTTTTTTTTGAAACGTACAAAATTAAAAATAAAACGTAACGTAAAACTAAAACTAAAAATAGAAAATAGAAACATGCCCAAACTGATTAACCAAATCTATCTTATTAAAACAGAAGTACCAATAAAATATACCCCTTAGTTTTTCAAGTTATTTACACAACAATGTCATTGTATTTATTAATAATCCTAATTTTTAGTAATGTTGTCTTTTTCAGTTAATTCAATATATTGTTTATTAATTTTAAAAACAAAATCATTTTTGAATATCCCCTAGATTTTCTCATATAACAGTTTATGCTACTGATTTTTTTTCTAAAAATATAGAAGTTTAAATATGAATATATTAGAAGTGAATAATAACTATAATTTACATATTCAATCACGTTGGACCATTTAATAACATATAGTAAACCTTTTTCAATACTGATTTCAGTTATCATTAATGCTTAAAAATGTCATATTAAACAATAATTTAATACATATATATATTTTAAAATTATATATTATTATATATAAAATAAATATATATATTTGCAAAAATGTAAAAATAAACCCGCACGGGTGTGCGGGTCAAGCTCTAGTAGAAAATTAAACCAAGAAACCTTAGACCATCTCCAACCATGTATCTATGGGGGTTCTATGTCACACTTCTAACTAACTAAAGATTGAAAAATAAATCAAAAAGAATTAAATTAGATAGATATGGTTCTAAAAATTTAATTTTTGGAAGCATTTCTAAGTAACACGTGTCACTTTTTGATAGGATTCCATTTAAAAAAAAACTTTTCCTAATTGTACTCTGTTTCTCCTTTCCGTGGAGTGAAAAAAGTTGAACAAAAAAAAAACTTGGGGAGAAGAAGAAGAGCCTGGGAGAAGGAGAGATGAAGATGGGGAGAAGAGCCTACGAGTTTGAGGATCGTAGAGCTGATTTCGCTGTTAAGGTTATAAGCTAAACGTTTTATATTCTTCTTTTTTTGTTTCTAGTGTGAGGAATTGTTTCGTAGATGCTGATATTTGAGTGTTGTGATGAACTTGACGGTGTGTGGTGGAGGTGAATCGGATGGAGATGTGTTGATTTTTCCTGAGATGCACTACAAAAAAAGTCTACATTGATAGCATATTGTTATAGCACATTTTACTGAACTGTTATCGTAGATGACTTAAAAAATTTCATACTATAATAGGATTAGATAAATGCTATGATAGTGTAAATGCTATAATATTATCAAGCGGGAACTAATTTCGTCAAAAGTTGGATGAAAATTAGGAAAGCGCCAAGTAGATAATTTTTCCCTCTTGTCATAACGCTTTTGGACATTTAAGTTAGAAAAAAAATATTGTCCTAACTTGGAAAAAAAATTCACGCTCTCTCGTGAAACAAAAACCCTATCTCCAACACTCAGATTCTCTTTTTCACTTCTTCTCCTCAGCAGCTCAGCCACAGAACAACGAAATTAACAAGAGAAGGATGACCAGAAGTTGTGAACAGATCCAAGCTCAGTTGGGCGGATCGAAGAAGAAAGCCGATGACTCTCCACCATCCACGAGGTCAGATTTACTCTCTTTCTATCTCCATCTCTCCCTCACTCTCTCTGTTTTGAATCTGATGGTGTTTTGACATAGGCGAACCCACGGGGGAGCGAAGAAGAAAGCCGACAACTCTCCACCATCATGAGTACTTTCTCTTCTTAGTTCTTTCTTAGGGTTTCGCTTTCTGATTTTTTTAGGGTTAGCTTTTGATTTGTATTTTATTTATCTGTTTCTTTGTGTAATTGTTCTTTGTATCTGATTAATCGTGTCTTTGGTTATTTATATCTGATTAATCTTGTATCTGGTTCTTTGTGTAATGGTTTCGATTTTTGATTTTTAGGTGATGCCTGATGTTTCTTAAATTCGGGTTGAGTACATGAATAGATGGACAGGGCTTGAGGTTGGAAGAAGAAGAAATATGAGATCCTTATGTGTATAGGTTAAACCTATTAGGTTTGCTTGGTTTCTGCAACTCTTCCTCACAATCTTGAGTCTTGGACAAGCAGTTCCTCGTCTGTCAAGTCTAGATGAAGGTAATAGCATGAGTCAAGTAAATCTTTAGGCTCGTACTCTGTTTCTTTATTGTTTAGAGATACCATTACGACACAAAGTATTCACATGCCAGGTATAAAAGATCTCTAAAGTTTGTCTCTTTTTGTTGTGGGTTAAATATTGTTGATGTCTGATGTTAGGGTCCATATGGAATCTTGAAGAGATGTTTGGTTCATTGATGATGACAAAAGTTCATTCCTTTAGCTTAGAACAACTTTAAAGTTTGTTTCTTACATTGTGTTTTTAATGGGTTTTAGGAATGGTTACAGCTTCAGCTGATTGCTCTATTCTAGCCACCGATGTGGAGACTGGTGATAGTGTTGCACATCTTGAGAATACTCACGAGTAATTCAGTTCCCCTTTAAAAAAAATTTGACACACTTTCTGTTTTTTTTTTCTAGGATAAAGCATTTAACATCACTTCTTGGATGCAGATAATGGATTCTTTAAAGAGAAAAAGTATCTCAGATCCATCCTCACAGAGTCGCTACCACCACCGTCAGTCTCATCATAATCACCACTGGTCACCTCTGTGTCTCCTCACTCTCTGAAGTTGAATCATTTATAAGAGTAGTTAGGATGTGTTTTTTGATTACTAAAAATATTTGAACTTTAATTGAGAAAATCTATGTGAGTTTCATGCTTTACTCATAGCTTCTACTCTTAATTAATGTCACTGAAATCAGATGTGTAGTGCCCATTAATCACTGTCAAGCCCTGTGTATCATACTCTTAGTTTAGTTATGGTCATTTTTTCCCCATATTATTCTGATTTGTTTTGTTGAACCTGACTTCTTTTGTTTTGTTTTCTGTAGATTAACCTCCATTCTTCGTTGATGGGACATGAAGAGTGGAAGAAGACCTTGAGTTGTTAAAGAAGTTTACAGTGGAAGAAGAAGATGAACCTTCTGGAGTCTTCAATTTTTTTAGGTTTAGAATTTTTTAAAGATTTGGTTTGGTGTAAACCAAGTTGGGGAAATTGTGGTGGTTTGACTTTAGTTTCTAATTATTGGTTTATTTTTGTAAACTAGTTTTAATTTATAAATAAAATATATTTTATTTTTAATTATAAAACAATTTGATTTAAATTTAATTTTTTTTTATTTATAATTATAATAATTTTTTATTTATTGTAGAAAGACTTATCATAGTACGAAAATAGTGTTATAGTTAAGTTAATAACATCATTCAAGTATTGCTATCGTATTTGTATGTTTCTTAGCATTTAAAAAAACTGCTATCGTAGGGGGGGGTACCTATGATGACTGTTGTATACATAGCATTTATGAAAACGCTATAAAACCCCTAACATAGCATATAACCCGCTTCGATTTCTATGGATAGTCACAGTTGATTGATTAAGAAATTTGTGGAAACTCGGATTCTAAGTCATTCAGTTATAGAGATGATGGTGTTAAGCTCGAGATTTAGATCTGAGAAGCTAGTTTCTTCAGATAAAAAAAGTTTGAACCTTTGTTGTTGTTTTAAATAGCAAAGAAACAGAGTTTGGTTTTGTGTATTGTCTTTGTTGGAATGATTTTAGTTTAGGTTTTAATCTTATAATGGGATCTTCAAGAAAGAACCAAGTTTCCATTTCAGACAAGATCTTTGTGTCCGAGAACAAGCAAGTCGAACCGGTTTTTTTTAGAAAATACTTAAAACAAAATGAGATGCAGTTTAGAAGTGTTAACCCAGTTATGTTTTGATCTGTGTGGCTTGCGTAGTTGGAAATACAGACGAGAACTTGCGTAGTTGGAAATACAGATGAGAACGTGGAGGAACTAGCTACAAGTGTGAAGTTTCAGAGATCTGTGACATTACTTGGTGGTTCTACTACGCTCTCGTTGCTCGGCATTGGTCAGTTACCTTTCACTCTTTGTATATACTTGCTCTGAGACTTCCTGTGATGTATCTATATGTGAAAATGCATCAACTTTTGACAGGGTTTAGGGAGAAAAAGTTTGCAATCATCGGTGTCAAAGTCTATGCTGCTGGTTTATACATGAATGAATCTATTTTAACCGAGTTAACCGCGTTAAAAGGGAAGTCTTCTGATAAGAGTCAAAGAGATTCATCACTGTTTAGCTCCATTTTTTAAGGTGATGATATGCTCAACATCATACCTTTCTTTGTTCACATTTCAAACTCTCATACATGAGTCTTGTTGTTCACATTGATGTAGGTCAAGCAGAGAAATCGTTGCAGATTGTTCTTGTGAGAGATGTTGATGGTAAAACCTTCTGGGATGCATTGGAGAAATCGTTGCAGATTGTTCATACTCTTGACTTAGATCAACCCTTCTAAAATGCTTGTAAGCACCATTTTTTCTCAGGCTTTGGAGCTCATTGAATTACTTACACAGAAGATTGCCTATGTTTTTTTTCTTCTTCTGTTAGGTTTCTGTTTAATCCGGAGGGTTACCCGTAACTCCAAGGAATCTTTGTACAGGTTATTGGTGAGCCAGTGTACTGCAACCAATACCTTCATCCACGATCAGATGAGGTTTTTTTTACTACTCTCTACTAAATTTTGTCTGTTCATTTAATTTATAATTATGTTTTTACATGCAATTTACTTAAGTGATAAATCCTGGGTAGAGTCTAGTATCTTGGTAGACATGAAATTTTGCCTTTTCATTTAATTTATAATTCTGTTTTTATGTCAAATTAATTTAAATTTTATGTAATTCAATAATTATAAGCTTTTTTATTATAGAATGTGATGCAAGTAATATCTTGTTACAAATTTTCAATTTTTTGAAATTTAGAACCTTTAATTGGTTCTACCATTGGAAAGATTAAAATTATACAAGTATCTAAATTTTTTAGTTTTATTATTTTTACTTTAAAAATTGATTTAGAACTCTAATGAAGGATCTATTGTTGGAGATGGTCTTAGAGCAGCATGGAGATCAAAATTAAAAACTGATTGCTGCCGAATCAAATGCGTTGGAACCCTCCTTCGAAGAGGTGCCATGTCAACCGCAATTCAGCGCCTTAAATCAAATAATTTTTTTTTCAAAAAATCGGAAGATGAAACAACTTCCTACAGTGATTAGTAATCCAGAGAAATAAAGAGATGAGAGATCACCACCAAACGAAAACAGGGAGTCCCACTTTAGAGTAGTACATGAAAAGTAAAGAGAATGCGTAAAAGGGTAAAGAAGTCACTAGATAAAGTTGGATTTGCTGGTTAGGAGCATATGATTAGATAGATCTATACTGTGCCCGCCGACCCGCTTGCCTCCACCGCCTCTAGAAGTTCTTTGTCTCAGCTCCATCTGCTGTCCTCATAGCAGACATGAAACCGATAGTCAGACCGCTGGAGGTCCAGATCTAGGGAAACCATCCCCTCCACGTTAAGCTACTCCTAGAACAAAACTCGGAACCATTACGTCTCTTCCACCGAAGAACATACTCGACCGTCATGGACAAAGAGGAAAGAACCGGAGAGAGCTTGGGGTCCACACGCCATCACCGACCCCTTAGATCTAACGCATGAAGCTAGAGTTCCGGCCAAAACTTTCGACCACCATGTTAAACACCACCACCTTACGTTTCGGGCTTTACAAAGAAGAGCATCGAGAGATGGAAGAGGAGAGACACATAAAGGAACCCTCTCACAGTGAAACCAGGTCGAATCCAATCGTCGAAGAGACAAATACAGAATACTGGAAATCGCCTATTTTAGAGAAAAAAAAAGAGAAGAGAGAATAAGTTTTTTGGTAGCTTTTTTCTTATGTTTTGGTAGTTCTTTTAAAATTAGCTGTATGTTTTTGAGCAACTGTATTTTTGTATGATGTAGAATCAGCGTAAGAAATCAATACTTATGAAAATCAAATTTCTGAAGATTCAGACATATTGTACGCACTTAAAGACAGTCTGATTTTATGTGTGTGAATGTATATCTGGATACAATGAAAGCTTTATTTGTGTAGTAGCCAAAAGAACAAAGAAAAAAAAGATATTTAGAGAAAATATAGAGGGAGAGAGTTTTAAATACATGGTGTATTATCTTTTTTCTAATGTTATTAAGTCCAATTTCCCTACAATGAATGACATTAAAATCAATACTATTAAAAGAGAAGGAATCTTAAAAAATCTACTTATGAAAGGTTATTGCACCCTTTCATTTTTAGTCTAACCCATATATAACCAAATCATATATAACTACCCTATTTTATAGTAACAAATGAGATTCCATTATTTTCCATATTTTATCTATTACGAAATCTATACTATTAAAACACAAGGCCTTTTTTTGAGGTGTCCTTGAAGTTCTAAAATATTTACCATCCTTTGCCACTGAGATATTTTTAATCTATGTTTTTAATTAAATATTTTTAGTTAAACAATTCCTTATTTTTAGTATCTTTTTCCTTTTAGTTTAATTAATAAAAAACTCAGTGTTTATTTAAAAACATGGAAATTAAAAATATATGGAAATTATTTGTACCAACCAATCGAATATTCCTACTTCCCTTAAACGCCTATATATTATCACTTAATTACTTCATCACATTTCGGCTAAACAAAGAGAGCTTGATTTTTTGGCTAAACAAATTGACATGCTTAATGAGATTTCTACTATGCCCTCCTCTGATATTCCCCAGAAACAAATTGAGAGCTTGATCATTCGTAAACAGGTTGGTGAAGGTTTTTATGGGTTCATTTTAAATAGCAGCGATAGCTAATAATTTAACCAATATAATTACAGCATTATTTCATTATAATGACATGCTTGATGGGATTTCTACTGTGCCCTCCCCTGATCTTCCCTAAACAACAAATGTGAGTTTTATTTCTATGATGAGATTCTTTTGTGTTCATCTGCTAAGCAGTATGAATGGTTGATTTTGCTTTTTGTTTGGGTTTCAGAAAGATACTATACTGATAATGAAACATGCGCAAGGAACAACCACATTTGTTTTTAATTATTTTCAAAGATGGAGTCACGTCGTTGCTGATTCTCGTGCAATGAGAGGAGAAAAATCAATCAAAAGCTCTTAGTCGAGTTGAAGGAGAAGATTGATCTACTAAACAAGCCAGCACCGAGTTGAGTTTTTCTTTTGATATTTTAGAGTATAATTTGGTTTTAACGTCTGTTTTATTTTATGTTGGTTTCACTTTTTTTTTTAATTCTCTTGCATCAATGTTCCCATTTCACATTAACAGAATGATAGCAAAACATTTGTTCTGCACACAATGAGTGAGATTTTTTTGGTTGAAAAGTATAAACTCCCCTTTAAAAAATATTAATGTAATTACGTTATTAAAAATATTAGTTTAATAATATCTGTAAATTCCTTTAAAAAAAAATCTTCTTTAGAATATACCGGTGTTAGATAATAATATATGAGAATATATCCCATTTTTAATCAAAACAAAAGATTATAGTAGATTTTGGAACTTTAATTATTGGATATATCTAATTACTTTCGAATTTTTTGTATACAAATAAATATTAACTCAATAATAGAAGCGAATATATCATTTTTTATTATTTGTTTCCATAAAATATATTTAAGAATTTAGATCTCTAATTATTAGACATTAC